TCTCAAAATGAATTTAGCAGAAACTAAAGTTATGACAACTAACAAACTAGTAGACCGAAAAGACATAGTAGCAGATTATATATTTAGGACAACTAATACACAGGTCGGGATCTCTACTACCAGAAATCAACAGAAGAATTAATGATCATGGAATACTTATCTAAGAAACTCAATCATATTCAAATCTAGAATGCCACTTTATCTAAAAAAGAAAACATTCGAACAATGTGTACTGCCAGTCATGACCTATGCATGTGAAACTATAATAATTATCAGAAAACTGCAGGTCACACAACGCTCAATGGAACGAAATATGCTGGGAATAACCAAGATAGAGCGTAAAAGAATAGAGTGGATACGACAAAAAGCTCAGGTAGTAGATGTCATCCACAGAATCAAATCCCTTAAGTGACAATGTGCAGGATACCTGGCAAGAAGGACGGACAACAGATGAACCACAAGAATTACAGCATGGTACTCACGAGGAATTAAAAGACCTAGAAGAAGACCAAACTTGAGATGGGATCATGGTATTAGAAAATTAGCAAGGATAACTTGGGCGCGCATAGCCAACAATAGACAACAATGAGCCAAATTACAAAGAGAGCATCTAAATATGTGAAGGAAGTTACATCAGAATTGGAAATGGTTGAATGAGCTGAAAATGATTATGATGATGATGATTTCAGAATTAAAACAGAAATCGAGAAATCTATAAAATAAAAAGATATTTTTATCGTAAAATACGATTGTCTTAGAATCTAAAGGGATATCAGATTAGGTGGTATACCTATAGGTGGCTTTTTATTCATAAACAAACTTGCCTAATCAACAAAAACGCTCAACGTTTTAGGTAGTCTGTATCCTCCCGTCTTCAAGGCAAACACTAAATTTATCAAACACCTGTGATCTTAATAGTATATCTTTGTGAAAAATCCTCTCATAAAAAGTATTCTCTAAGTAGTTTAGACTATATAATTTGTCTTTATTATTTTTGTTAATTTGATTGTGCAGATGGTGATATACATATGGACATATGGATCCTAAAACCCCATACTTATTATGCGCTGATGCGGTTCATCAAAGTGTCAATTTAATGCGTCGATGCGATGGGTTGTGCGATGGTGGTTTGGCGGAATGTCTATTTTTGGGTGAACTACCAAAAGAAATATCACGAACGCAATGTACGAATTTCCAAACGAACTAACGAATCGCATTGACGAACCGCATCATACTCACCACGTGCATATAGATGTATGGATGCATATAGCGAGTATGGGGCTTAAAGCAGTGGCTTTTTGCAAAAGATAAAGTTCAAAAGTCTTTTTTATTTTTTAGATTTCTGTTTCAGTGGCAAAATACCGTCTTTCTTAAGATACTATATTAACATATTTAAAAATGTAATTGTAATTATTAATACAGAAAATATCCAGCTAATATTATCTTCAAAAGTACTCATTTGTTTATTTAGAATATTCAAAGATTCTGAAATTTCTACAAAATAGAAATTATTATTACTAAGGTAAACAAGACCCCAATAAATAGTCGCTGTCCCGGCTTTTAAAACTGATTTATGGTTTATGGTCAATCTCAGCGAACCCTCACAAAAGTTTACAGAAAAATTCTCTAAACTTTGCCTTTACTAACTTGCCATGAAGGTATTATCTTTTTAAGGATAGTATATAATCTGAAATATTTATTACACCGTCGCGTCGGCAATATTTGTAGCTAGGAAAGTAAAATTTTAGGTTTGATTTTTATTGATTCAGGTAGCTTAACAGAGTAGTTTAAAGTAAATACAGAAAGAAAATTTTCAACTTCTAAAGATCCGCTAAAAATAAAATAAAAAATGTTTAAGATGTTTCAGTTATTCTACTCATCGACAATCTTTCTTTACATTTTTTTTGATTTATAAATTATTATTTTTTAAATCTAGGGGATTTATATTATAATGGTTCATGCATAACCAAATTGGGATAAATGTTTATAACATTAAAGAAAAAAATATTGAGATGTGGATCAATGAAAGGCTAAAACTATGGAATGTACACTATGCCCACTATCCAATATCAAATACCAAATGAATATCTACTTCATAAAAATGTTTGCTTGTTCCAGAATGGTTAATCCTGTATATAGCTATTCAAATTTCCATACAGTTTAAGAGCAAATTTAAAAAAAAACATGAAAATATGGTTGATTTTTTTCTAAAATCGAAAGGCGTTTATAAATTAATTTTGATTAACGTCATATTTTTTGTTGTTTCAAAATGTTAAAGAAGCACAAAATTTAGTTAGTTCAATGCTACGGACAGGGTGATAATATTTATCAGAAAATGTGATACTTTAACAACATTAAGTTTTAATCATCTGCTGATAATGCTATGTAAAAGTGTTTTTGTTGTATTCTGGTGAATTATTATGTAGTGTTTTATTTTGCTGTTGTAACACCAAAGGTTCTAACCCCCAATTATAACTTTTACAACAGCAAAAAATATAACTGTATAGAGAGGGTAATTCACGTTCGATGATAATCGTTTGATAGCCGTTTATGGAGAATTTGAAAGTTTGGATGAAACCGAAGATAAAACTATGTTTCTCCATATCTTAGAAAGATGTTCAAAAAATCAAAAGGACTAATATGTAGTGTGCTTTTTAAATTAGTATTTTATAAATAAATAAAATTGAAAAAAATGTGCTATTGAAACTTTCATATTTGGAGAAATATGGAACATATAAAAATGGTCAGGTGGGACATAGTTAAACCACGTTAAGAATTTCTTACATATTATCCTTGTAGCAATAATTTTTATTCCCCCAATTTTTGTTATATAATTTCAAATTTAATCATTTTCCTACTTGACCGACAATAAACGGACAAACCGACAATAAACGGACAAACAGATCCTAAGTAAGATAGATAAAACGGCAACGCTCAATTATCGCCACAAATTGACTTATAAGAATCTTAACAATGTTGTGAATGTCCGTGGGCAGTCGAAAGGACAAAATAGCCTCGCAGGACGTCCGAAGAAAGGGACGAAAGGTTGATAGAGTGGAAGAGAAATGGGAAATCGAATGACCAGGAAGGAATTGGGTTGTTGCAATCCGTAATGAAAATTCTTTAATATTATATTCAGTGAAATATGTTTTATGAATTTGAATTATTTAAAGCCTCATTTTTTTATTTCTTGTGTGTAAATATTATGTGTGTACTTATAATATAGAGTTCTCTAATATCTAGTATAATATGTTTCATGAAATTTGAGTACCTATAGCATTTCTTGATATTTTTAATTTTATTGAATCTTTAAATAAATTAAACTATTCTGTTCTCTTCAACTGGAGGATATACGACAGTCATTGTCTGATCATTTTAAGTCACCGATAAATTGTATTTTATGTAATTTTTTGTTTGCCCTGTATATGAATATAATTTTATATGAATTAAAGTAAAAATGAAATATTTTTACTTAAGTGGAATTGATAAACCAATCCAACACATTGGTAATGTTATTTGTTGGGCAATGTTAAAAGTTCAGTTTTCGAAATGCGCGCGGTTCCTAATCGATCATCAAAAGCGACGTTAGAGAATAGAGGTATATGGACGGGTTAACGTATGGAAAGACGCCGTATATTTATTATATCGTTTAAAATGTCTATTAAAATATGGAGTATAAAAAACCTCTATACAAGGTGAGTCAGAAATAAATTCAAATATTTTCAGGATTGATAGATCTCGATAAAAGGAACATATTTTCTCTTTTTTTTTCTCTTTTTTTTCAAAAAAAAAGTCCGAGTAATAACTCCGAAAAATAACGAGTTAATTTAATTTGAAAACTAAAAAAACATTTGTTGCTTAAATTTTGCTTCTCTGGATGCTACAATAATTGTGAATATGTTTAAGAATAGACTAGATGTGGAAATGAAGAGCTGGAATAATCTTTTTATTCACTACATGTTATTGTAAACTGTAATGTTAATTTTAATTTTAATTTTAATTTAAATTTATATTTTTTTGATTTGAATGTCGGTAGTGCAATGTTTATTTATTTTTTCAACTGTGATAGACAAATGTGATTATGCGATTCAATAGTCTCATCGCTCTCGGGTTTTACCCGCCTACTGTTGATTTTTGTAATAATAATCTATGTTGCCATATTACCAGTATATTATGTTTTTTAAATAAAAAATAAAAAAATACAAATTTTCAAAAAAAAAATAGCGAAAAAAACTCAGACGTATTCATGAGGTCGAAATATATAATAGATCCCTATATTTATACTTATTTAAAACTCACCCTGTATATATTTTAGTTAAAAAATATATACATACTATTTTTTAATATCTCTAAAACTATCGAAATATATTTACTCATATCTAAGGATTATGTAAAGTAATCTGAAAGGAAGCAAACATATTATAGCTTATATCGCTGAAAAGCTTAAAAAATGGCACTTTTTATAAAGTCATGGCCAACTATGGTTTCCATTTAAAAAAACATATGTTTCTGTCAAATGTCAAAAATGACAGGCTTTAGAAAAAAAACGGAGGACACAGTCTCATTAAGGATGTGATTAAAAATGCAATAATAATTCCATTAAAAAAAAAACATATAGATCCACTCACACGTTTTTGAGCTACCCTATAGAAGTCAAAATATTTTCCTGAAATACATCCTCGTAGGTACTTTAGGTCTACATTTGAACAAAATTCTCAAGTTTTTTATTCCAGAAACTACAGATGCCCGACGCACTATTGCCGAACCCTGTATTTATTAAAAAAATATTTAAAAATAATAACCTACAGTAATTATTATTCGAAATGAAACCCATCGCAAATATATTATGATAAAGCATACAATATAAATTATTATAATATGATTCTAAAAGAATTTTTACAAATGTTCTAGTATTTTAGTAATTTTTAAATAATTACTATCTGGAAAGATACTAAAATACACTAAAAGATTCTAATAAAAATTTAAAAATCTTTCCTTACCCGAAATTGTGATAACAGTTTGGAACAGACTCGTGTGAAATATGACAGTTTGGAATATACTCGTAGCGTTGAGGGACCATCATTCTAACTGACTTTAAAATTGTTTCTATACAGATAAAACAATGTACCTAGTACTCTTTATAGACATTATTTTTTGTCTACACACGTTTATTTATTATCCCTTTTTTGCAATAAGACAGAACCGGTTTTAAAACATTTCCAGATGACGTCTTGATATAATATAGGGTGTTTCTTTTCGTTAGACTTAAAATAATAATTAATTAACTAATAGTTATTTTTTATACAAGACGATAAAATAATGGTATTTTATCGTCGACCGAAAAGATTAATTCACGAACGATGAAATCGCGAGTGAATTAATTTCGGGATTATTACGATAATGCAATTTTGTCGTCGTGTATAAAACAATATCTTTTTCAATGGCGAGTTACGTTTTAAAACATATTCAGAAATTATTATTTCAAGGAATTTATTACGAGTAGAAAATATATTGTGCTGGATTGGCGTTGGTTTCTATGTAATTTGACAAATAAATAAACCTGTCTCTTTAGTTGTCAGTTTTGAGTCAATATTTTTAATTCTCTTTCGTGTCGATTGCGGATTGAATTGGAGCCAGAAATGGCTCAAAACGAAATAAGTAAATTACCAACAGATATTCAGGCTGAGGCGATAAACGTCCTATCCAAACTACTTCCATTTAAATCCCGAATAACTTATGAAAAGGAATACAAATATTTTCAAAAATGGAAGCAATTAAAAAACGTGCGAGAAGAAATAAAGTTTTTAACCCTATCCTCGCTGTTAAAGTATCATTTAATCTGCCCTTGCGGTTAAAGTACAATTTTATCTACTAATTTTGATAGATATAAGGCAATTTTAACAGTTGCTATGAAAAAAAATAAAATTATTAATAATCCAAAAAAGAATTACTCGCAATTAATGGATTTACAAAATGAACAACATAAAACAATTATAAAAATTAATTTAAAGCCCCATACTCATCGCAGATGCGGTTTGTCAACGCGGTTCGTCAATGCGTTGTTGCGCGGTGTTGTGCGGCGGTTCGGCGAATGTCGGTTTTTGGGCGAACCATCAATAGAAATACCACGAACACAATAGACGAATTTCGAACTAACAAATTGATACTTACTATTTTATATTATTTATATTTTCACTTTACCGTTTTTCAAATAACTCCAAAATAACTGAGTTATTTTACTTTAAAAATTTCCAAAAAAAATATTTTTTGCTTAAATTTTGAGAACCACTGCAGCTTTTCGGGTTTTTCTGTCTTGTAAATTCTACCTATCTATGTAGCCATATTATCAAGAAATTATGGGTTTTAACTAAAAACTAAAAAAAATCCAAAAGGTTTTTCAAAATATTCCAAATTCCCAAAAAAAATTTCGCGAAAAAACTCATAATCGTGTTTCTGGGGTTAAATATACCTACAACCGCTAAGAATAATTGCACTTATTTAAGACTCGCTCGACAAAAAATCGATATTGTTATTTTTGACTTTACATATTACATGATTACATATTTTTTACTTAAAATTTATAAAAAGCCGTCAATATTCCAATTTCAAGAGCATTTTTATTCTCTTTAAATATTATTATGTACTTAACACTAGTACTTAACACCGCTAGATGTTATAGTAATGCATTTTCGTACAGCAAACTTTCATTCCCTATTCTACTCCCTAAGATCATAGATTTCATAAAATCGCTTTATCCAAATAATTAACTCATGTCTTTTAAATGATCCTTTGCGCCAATTTTTATGTGTATAATCCAGAGGTCACCAAGTTTTATATAAATTTTTTCTAACTTTACCCATTTGGTTGATGAATTTCAAAAATCTCTTGTAATTCTTTTTGTAGGATTTCATTCTTCTAGACCACATAGTAAGGAATTTTCATACAACAAATTGTTCCGACATAATTTTACTCTCTAAGAGGATGAATTTCCTAAAATCGCTTTGTGTAGCTAATCCACTAATGTCGTTTAAACGAACCTTTCTAATATTTATGTATCTAAAGCTGGCTGTATGAACTGATCCCTAAATTATCTAAAAACTTGATATATAATCTAACTGACAAACCACTGACAATGACAAATAATTTATTTCTGGAGGTATTGTGTGTAGGTGATTTTCAGGTATGTTTTAATATTTAGTCGATTTACACAAAGAAATAGCCATTCAACAATTTAAAAATACTTCATAACAAATCTAGACATATATTCTATTAAACCTTTCATTTAAAAAAACGCGTTTCGCTAGCTACTGTAATTTTGGAGTTACGATTTTTTAAAATTTTTAACCCCCTCCCATACCCCCTTACCAACCCCCACCCCCACCAAAAACTAATGGCCAGATTCTCGGGTGCCACAGTATTTTTGTGTCAAATTTGGTTAAAATCGGTTCAGCGGTTTTTGAGTGATCGTGTTACAGATGGCAGACAGACAGACAGACACCACGAAAATATTTTGTATTTAGGTCATTTATGACCCAAATAACTCATTTTGAGTGAAATTAAAAAAACTTACACATGGACGCATTAGCGTATAGTGAATATGGGGCTTAATTGTATAAAATATACATTTGAAAGTAATATACAATATCAAAGCAAAACCTTTGAAGGCAGGTAAAAGGACAAATAACTCGCAATCTTAGTAGATATACTTTTAAGATTGTGAGTTATTTGTCCTTTTACCCGCCTTCAAAGATTTTGCTTTGATAATATGTACCCACACTAGGTTAGAGAACGTTTAATATACAATAACTATAAAAAAAATGATGTGAGAAGTCTATTAATATTTATTGAATCACTGTCTAGTTATGGAATTGATGGAATAGAAATCAACTCAATTATACCAATCGGCTTAGAAATAGCCACTACATTTGACATTTGGTGGAAAATAATTTTATGTTTTATATGGCTGCGCGTGCATTAAGTTCCTAGAGAACTATATAATATCTAGATCGGAGATTTTTTGTACGTCATTGTTTCACAATGAGATCTGTCGATTAAAAATATTTTGAATATGACGGCACTTCTGGAAATACCGCAAATTGACAACAACTTTCATATTTTAAATGGGTACCCCCATTTTTTATTAAATGCTTGAATTATCTGTAAAATTTTATAAATTGTGATATTATACATGGCTTGATATCATTAGCGTTACCGGACGTCCGAATTAATCCGGACATATCCGGATTTTCACTACGTCCGGTTGAGTCCGGGCGGATTTTTCATAAGCGTCCGGATTTTAAGAAATGGTCACAATAACGCAAAATAATATATTAGTTTTAATAAATTTATTTGCTTAAAAAATCCTCGATAAATTCAGCAGTGTAAATTCATTGTTTTACTTCGTATGTTTTGAAAGTTGTAAATGTATTTTTTTTCAAACATCACAAAATATTTAAATTTTGGGACATGATTGACAACATAAAAAGTAATTATAACGCCTAGGCATAAAAGTAAATCACTTTTGCCTAACGTCCACTCCACAACCTCGTCACAAAAAGTATCATTTTTACTCCTAATAAAACAATATACTATTTTTGCTCTTATATCGCTAAAAAATTGTGACGTCCGGATTTTGTCCGGATTTTTCGGAAGGCTTGCCCGGGGTGGATAAGTTTTCACCTGGTAACCCTAGATATCATAGATGGCTATACACATTTTTTTTGAGAGGCAGTTTGTTTCGTCCAAAAATTTTAAATATATTTTTTTCAAAAACGGTTAACGTTAGGTATAAAGTATTTTATATCACGTCGCAAAAATTAATGTTATTGTGTCGTTTGAAAAAACATATTATTATTATTATTATTTTGAGTTTGGTGTGTAAAAAAGCAGCAAAAAAGAGATTATTTTCAATACGCGAGAAAAAAGAGAACAATACGATCAAAAAAGAGGACTGTTTTTTGGAATTATAGGACCGTTGGAAACTCTACTTAAAATTCAGACGAATTTTCAGAGAAATGTCAAATAAAGAAAAGCCTGATCAAAGTTTGATTTTCTATAAGATTTTCTAAAATATACTTACTATTACTTTTTTGTAATTTAGTGATAATTCATATGGAGTTTTTTACCTATACAGGTATTATTAGGCTTTAATTCCATGAATATAGAATGTATTATTTGCATATATAACACAATAATATAACCGCAATAATTTCTGCTACTACAATTATTGTAGTAGTAAGGAATTATTTATAGTAAGGTATATGTCAAGATAATTGGTTGAGGTTTATCAATAGCACATGCCAATTGATATATTTAGAGATTATGTATGTAAATATGTAAAGTACCGTATATTGTCATAGATATTATGCAAAAAGGAAATCGAGGGGATATTTTTAATTGAAATAATAGGTATACCGCATACATAAAAAACAATGTGGCGCTAATTTTTTTAGGTATTGAATGTTGTTGATTTACAGAAAACTAATATTTAGTTTTCGTACTCGTTTCAGTATCCTTCAGTGGCGTGCAGTGCAAATCAAAGTAGGATAGTCAAAATTTAACAAAATAAAATAAGAATAGTATAGACAATAATTAATTAGTCAATTAATATAATCACATAATATCTTTTATTGTAAATTGAGAGAAAAATTTTCAGATTTGGCATCACTGCAAAGGACGACGGGCGATGAAATTAAATCACGCTTTCCATCCTTATTTTATCTCTTTCTTACACATTTGCCTTCCAGTCCTTGTGGTCTGCAGGGTACATGGAAGATTCGTAAAAAAGTAATATCGTTGATTGAAAGATTTGGGAAGATACGCAACCTAATGGGCGAATTCGTGACAAGGCTGATTTGATTTCCCTTTAAGTGCTGTACTGTGGCCACTCGTTTTGCAACCAACGCATAAAGCACTAATTTTCTCTAATTCGGCCAGCGAAGGCATATCGAAGACGGTGTGGAACTGAAAGCGACAGTGTTGCCAGATTAAAATGTGTAATATCTGTAATACTTTATACAAAAATATCATTGAATGAAAAATCTGCGTTTATTTATTGAAAATTTATTGGTGTTAAACATAGAATAAACAACGAAAATATATATTCTAAATATAACAAA